TTCTTTATGCTACAGAACAGGGGCACAGGGGTGGCCATAAAGCTTCATTCGCCGAAAAATGACGCATGTAAAGAATTCTCAGACGGATTATTCAGTGCCTGAATGATCTTATTGTCATCTGTATCTAAATAAGTTACCAAGTTCTTAAATAACTCTGATCAACATCACATCTACCAATACAATTAGTTTTTAGTATAATAACAGAATAATCGGCCGGTCAGAGAGCAAAATATTTGTAATATAAATATAAGCATACGTAGTATAAATTTGTATTCGAATTTCGTGTTGAATTTAGAAGGGCACTGATGCTATAATAGCATTGGAAGGTAATAAGATGTATCTTTTTTGACTGCAGGTGCCTGAGGAGAAAAACGATTTTTGATAACAACCGACAAACGAAGAAATAAATCAGGACATAACAGAGTTTATTAACGACCGTGGAGAACGTTAAGAGATTAATAGACGATCTGATATTTGCTGAGATGAAAGAACAAATATTAGCAGAGAGGGAACCTTTATTCATTATATTATCTCATTTCGCTCGCGTGGAGAAAGAGCTGGGGGACCTTCGTGAGAGAAACAAAGACGTAGAGGATCTGAGAAGAAAAATCAATCACGTTAATCACGTGTTGCTTCTGTAAAGAAGCAACACGTGATTAACGTGAGAAAAACACGCGAAACCATAAATGGCCTGACTCATGTAGTCTCAAGTATCATGGCCGAAAACGTCAATATGAAGCAGCAGATTCAGAGCTTTCGAACCTGCCAGTATCAGAACTTAGCGCCAACCTGCGGTGAGAACTGGGACCAGGGCGCTGACAAAGGCAGATTAGACGAGGCAGACGAATTTTCGGCTCGTACCTCTGAAAAAGCCAAGGCTGTTCGTTCTCCAAGTACGGTCGAACATTCAGAGACCGGCCTTCCGAGGCTCAAGGACTTCGAGCCGCTCCAACTTCTGGGGACAGGAGGCAAGTACGATTTCTTTCTGTTTGTGTCACCCGACACAGCCATTCATAGAAGACATACTTTATTATCTTATCAACATTATATTAGAAAAGTTCCAGTAAATTTGAATTTACTTGCTAATTTTTTGATTCTGTTATTGGTATTGCAGGCATGCTCTTACATCGCTCCAGTCTTGATGCCTAATGGATCGCACTGAAGAGGAAATTCTCGGCAATTCTGAAGTTTGGGATGTGATGAGTGATATTTTGGGTGCTTCAATTTATTGGAATTCAGCTTGTAACATTAACAATTTATTTTAATTTTATACAATAAATGATATTTACCATTGAAACATACACTTGAATATAAACAGATTATTTGATAAACAGCTACATGTTTAATAATTTTTGAGTTTTTCCAAAATATATTCTTATATCTGCGTGTATGTCATCAGTTGACTGTCGCAGTATTATGCAGCAATGAAGATTTATGTGACATTACTAAATACTTGTAGGAAAACTAACGCAGTTATAACTCCATTCTTCACAGGCTGCATCCCTCAGACTAAGACATAAATCATTCAGAAACAGTTCCTTTGCAATTTTCAATCCACTCGAAATGTCAGCAAATTACTGTAGTTGAGGCAACATGCTTTATTTTCTATGGCACCGTGTTTTGGCTTTCTCAGGAACATAAAGGGAATGGGTGGAAAACCTGGAAACAAACATTCTTTAAAAGGAATTGTTCCCAATATATCGTGGTATGAAGGATTATCAAAAGGGGCACAGGTCGCGTCGATCATAAGTAGTGAAGTGCTGATGCTGACAGGCAGAGGCAGACACTTGATGGGTTGAATAACTGCAAGGAAACTGAGGCTGACACTCAGGAACATGCGAGTTAATACAAAAGAACACCGTACATAAAATGAATGCACAGTTAACACTTCTCGCAATAAACAATGCTCAAGAAGCAAACAATACTTACTGAAACAGAACACAGCAGAAATGTAATTAAGAGGGCAGTGGTTCCAGTGATCCTTTGTTCCTAACTACTCACTTACCATTCTGTCAGAAAATCACTTTCTGGGTTACCTCTTACATGCTTTAAGTGAACAGGTATTTTTATATTAATATTGGTATACAGTAAATATCTCTCTATTAATTTTAACTTTACTTAAGTGTTACAATTTTATAGTTCTTGGAAGGTTTTGATGGCAGAAGCAGACCCTCTGGACGGAGGAACTTGATATATCAATATTATGTGGAGACTTTCTGGTTATTAGATACTAAAATGCACTGAAATCTATGACTGATATGCTAATGGTAATAATGAATGAACATTGCAAATGGTCTCATAATGCTGCAATGTGTCTGCTATTATAGCATAATTAAAAGAGAAAAGTTTGGATGAAATTCCAGTACAGTCTACAGTCTCTTACAGCTAAGAGTTCTAACTCTGTGTTGCTGCTTTTTCAACGTGAACATGGCCTTTGCAGTTGTTCCCTCCTTGAGAGCCTTAAGTGCGTCTTCGTACTGGCAACAAAGAGTTTGTCTTGATGCCAAGTTTTTCATACACCAGATGCCTTCATACGCCAGGCAATGAAATTAATTGTGTCATGACACAATAATTAATGAAGAATAAATGCAGATTCATTGTCTGACCTCCCTGCAATACATAATATATGTGCGGGTGATTCTTAATTGCATTCATTTCATTTAAGGATTGTGATCTACTCCTAAAATCAATCCAAGATGAAGCTCCTATAAACAAATGGTCACAAGTGCCTTGTGAGAGGCTGCAGCAATGAAGCATCAGTTCAGAAGTAATATTTGGACGGGAATAATTGGTGATCACATTAAGAGTTGGTGTTTAAACTCTTAGGGTGTCTTATGTACGTTTCAGTAGAATTACCTTGAATACTATTGGCTGTACCATTGAGAGTGGAAAAAAAACAGTGTGGTTTATGCAAGGATAAGCTCCTGTTCATTTTACCTGCAACATAAAGCAGCTTTTGCACTCTGATCACACACATTGATGAATGAGATAAACCAAATCGACTTTGTGGCCTCTGTGGCCCGATTTTACTCTACCAACTCCTACCTGTGGGGGAATCTGAAGGGCATAATTTTGTTGGAAAGAGTC